GTTGAGAGTTCATTTATAATAGATACATCTTCTCTAATTAAAAGTTTAATATTGGACGATCCAGATGAGACGACTTTCAAATCCTAACCTGATAGGGGGTGTTTGCTGTTTTCACTACGCGTATAAGTTGTCGAGCCTGGTAGAATTGGTAGTTTTTTTATCGGGTAGATAATTAGGCCTTTAGATCTGAGTATATTTTGTCCTTTGAGAGGTGATTTAAATATCATTGGTTTTTGAACTTTTGAATAAAACGTTTTAATAATTCTTAAAATTTGTGACTTACCTATGAAATTGTGATTACCTAATAAATGTGTATTTCAAGTCTGGGTTCAAGTCTGTGAGAAAGGACCTTGCATGTTGGGGCTTGAATAAAATGCAAAGGACAGCTCTGTATAATTTATGTTTGATTTCTTACATTCTGCCAGAGTGTAAACATGAAACTGTTGAGTTTAATGTAGTAAACTCGACGTGATAAAGTTAATGCTATAGTTTTCTTACTCATTTAAAGTATTAATATTGTGTTTGTTGATTTTTGTCTAATATACCCTTCAAGGTTTGCTGATACTCATTAATGCTAGATGCATATAGATATATCCCTTTCCTATAGACTCTGTCATCTTATGTTTTATTAGTTTCATATTTTCGAGGCAATTAGGTGGTTATGAAATTTTAAACTTAGTTACGAACACTGTTTATTTGCTATATTATTTAAAACAAACATTGTTACTTACAATCTCTGAATGGTTGTTTCTGAAAATGAACAAAAGTTTGTTTCCCTAGTATGATAACTTTTCTCTTATATTTTTTGAAAGTAGTAATTAAAAATATTTTTTCACAAAGCGGATATATAAGAGCAATGTTATTATATTCTCCTATTACTCGCGTTTTTGTGAGAAAATAACAAAAACGAAAACCACTACTCAGGAGAATTACTTCTACATTTTATAATAGTTTCGCTTACCGTCGCTAGATGGTAGCACATAGTGTTTTTTTTGTGTGTTAAGTACAACAGTTTGGGACTTTTCACTTCACAACAATGGTATCTGACAAACCAATTTCGCTAAAAATAAGTAAATAAATAAAGAATTAATTAAATTAAT